GTGGGCCAGGGAGCCTGGCACCAACCACCACTGGTTTGTGCCCGGCTCTCACGGAGACCTGCCGGCAGAGCTATTGAGCATGCTCAGTGCCCCATAATTCTTCCTAAATTACACAATCTCATAGGTGGCACCTTTCCACATGACGCCGGGCCAGACGGGCGGTGGCGGCCTGTCCAGAGCACGACCAGGACTAAGCGCTGCCAGCATCGAGCCGCGCGCGGAAATGTGTCTGCAGAAAACACGCAGCATCGGAGAGAGACGGGGGAGCTGGCAAAGCTGCAACACCACAACGGCTGCCCCGTCCGACCCCCGGCCCTGGGAGATCAATTGCTGCCTGGCGGCTCAGCCCGTCACCGCCCACGATGTCCTGCCTCCTCCCGCCTGCTTATCCCCAGGAAGCGCCCTAGGCCAGCGGCTGGGCGTGGGGGCGCCCCCGGCTCTCCTGTTCTCCGCAGCGAGGCTGCTTGTGCAGCTGCCCAGCCGCGCGGGGAGCGATCCCGGCCTGGCCCGCTCCCCAGGGGAGGCAGCTGGAAAGAGAAAGCGCCCGAGGCCGGGGGCAATGGCAGCGGCCCCGCCCCAGCGCGCTGCACGGGAAAGCCAGGGGGCCCCGGCTCGCCTTCCGCACACCCTGCACCTGGGCTGCTCCCTAGGCCCGGGAGACACGAACCCATGCGGGTGGCGCTCATGGAGGCAACTCCCAAAACTGATACTTCGAAGGAACAAGGTGACGTTTCTGGCCCTACCTCCCCCCTTTCAGCCAGGAAACTGCAGGGTTTGCGCCCTCCTGCTCTGGGAAATGGTGCTCGCTTCTGCTCCCGGGTTTCTCGGAAATCACCATAGGCGGGCACTTGTTTGCTAGTTGGGACTCCCTCTGCCGGCAGAAGGCCCAGCAGCAGCGGCAACAGTGAGTCATTTAGGAGCCGCTCGTAAGTGCTTTAAACTCGTGACTCTAGGATGGGGATTTGATGCCAGAAAGACCTTTCCTCGTCCCTGGAGTCAAGCGGTTTTGAAAGGTCCCACTGTAGCCGTGGATTGCAGAGCAGGGCTCACATAACCTCTTAATATTCATGCTCACTCTCCTAAGAAAAAATGGATGCTTTCTGATTTCCACCCCATACATTTCATAGTATGTTCTTGCTGTCACATAAAAATGTCTTGTGGACATTTTAATTTGGGTGAAATATTTGTGTTACAGATAAAAAGCAACTTTGCTTTTCCTCAGGGGTTAGAGAATAAATTTGAAAAGACCAGTGCTCTTTTGCTTCATTTTGAGCAATTTAACAAATAATTGACTTTTCCTTCCTCCCTTACCCCCATCTTGCCTGAGCTTTTTTCTCACTGCCCTTTTAAGGGAACACATTGATCAGAGGTCAGACTGAGACTAACACAGGGACTTTGAATCTTTGTTCTGGTTCAGTGATCTTCCCACCGCTGCACTGGATAAGTGGATTTTCTGCAACATTTCACTTCTGCACTATTTCTCCCTCCCTCCCCCCCCCTCCCCCCAAACTTCCAGAGGCTGGGGTGAAGTACATTCTCTGGTCTGGAGATCTGCAAGACTAGATAAGGGAAACTGTTCCCTCTCATCTTTTCCATCCATGTGGAGATAGATTGTATGTGCATTTAGGACTGTGTATGTGCACTGCACACAGAAACACAAACCTATCTGGGGGTGCTCTGCTAATCAGCTGGACAGTAATCCCTCCTGAACTTCCAAAGGTCATTCTGACATCAAAGCCACACCCAGAAAATGTACCCTATCCCTGAGATAAAGGCTGCTCCGGCCAGGCAGGCAGCCTGGCTCTTAGTACACTTAAACTGCAGAGCTGCAAGTGGGGGTAGGTCCCAGACACAGCGCAAGCTGGGACTGGCCTGGGCTGCCTTTCCTAATCAACTAATTAAGTAGTCGATAAAAATTCTATCAACTTCTCAATTAGCCAGTTAACTGCATCTTATCATCCCTAATGCAAGCCTGGGTTTCCTTTTAGAAGATATGCTTTAGTTTCAACCACACATGACTGACCTAAATGCAGGAATCACTGGTTTATTGAATAGCCCATTATGTAGAAAAGGAACCAGACTGATCATGATTTTCCCTTCTGGATTTAAAAAAAAAAAAAAAAGAGAGAGATGAATCTACTACACCAATAAGTACACAAGTCAAATGCAATGGAACAGTTTCTTTTAAGAAAAAAAATTACATATAGAATACTATGAGTTGCACGCAGGCATTTTCAGTTGGAGCCATTGTGATAAAATGCAATTCAGCATTCAGCTTCTATTTGCATGTAACCTCCCCCTACCACTTAGAGACATGTGGTGCTTGAGGCTCCACAGCTGCCAAAACAGGTAATCTTAGAGTGTTGGTTCTTCAGTGTTGCCACTGTTCCCTGTAACTAAACAGGCTCCTAAACTGCAGCACTTTGCTGTGTGTAAAAAAGGTTTGGTCCTGAAGATAAAAGCTAAAATGAGGGAAGAGTGATTGTAATTTGCCTTCTTCTCTTCCATGTACTTTGTTCTTTTATGGTTAACACTGATTTCATAACACATCTGGCTCTTTCCTATCAGTGCTGCTCAGTTTAAGATTTCTGAGCAAGTAAGGTTGTTAGTTTAATCTTCCCATCCATTGAGGCAGTGAGGCAGGTTCCACAATCCATGGCTGTGCACCAGTCCACAGTGACCACTGGGGCTCTGTGTCCTCCCAGAGAGAGGCAGCTTTCCAGGATCTTCTCATTGCTGTTCAGCTGCAGCAGCGGTGGGGAAGACAGAACACAAGAACTTATTAAAAGCAGGTTTCTGCAGCAGAAGCAGCTTGTTCCAATGAGAATCTAAAGCCTGACATAAGCTCGGAACCCCAACAGGCATGTCGTTCAGTGGTGTGGGCTTTGGGCAGCCGCCAAATGGAGCCCCATGCAGATACAAAATTTGTATCTGCATCTCTACATCCATATTGGCAAAAATGAGCCACGGATATATCCACATCTGTGGATGCAGACACCCGCAGATATAGAACGGATATCTGCAGAGCTCTATAGATACGTAGAGCAGGGAAATGGTCATTTTTCTTCCTTATTTCACTTTAAACAGTAAAAGGAAATCCTTCTACATCCAGTAAACATGTGTACAGCAAAGAGGCAAAATTAGCAGTCAAAATGCAGCTTAGTCTGTGAGTTTGGCACTAAGATATTCTGAGCCTGTAGAAGTCTGTATCCCATCCAACACAGATCAGATTCTTCAAGAAAGGAAAACTATTTAAAATGGGGCTTTTGTAACCCAACAGCTCACCTGCGGTGTATCATTGCTGCTGCATATGCACCTGCAATGTCAGACTTATCAGTAAGCCCAGACTACACAGACAACCTGAACTAGAAGTTGGTGGTGGCCCTTATTAGCTCAAAGTACTAACAAATTCTTTCAGAAGGCTGGAATTTCAGCTCCTGGATAAGGAAGCTGGTTTGTTTCAGCCCAACCTCCCCCATGTCTCTCACACTTACCTTGTAGATGATGCCCCCAGTGGAGGAACAGGTCAGCATGTAGTTTCCCTCAGAGTCAAAAGCAAAAAGCCTTCCTCGCGGAAACTGGACTTGCTTATACCCGCTGTACCCAGAGAGCACGAAGGGGCCTGTGGCATCAGTGGGAAGGGCGTACTCAGACACTTTCGTGCCACTTTTGTGAATATTCCACTGAATAAACTAGGACAGCAAAAGAAGGGATAAAAGTCTCCAGTGAAAGAAATTCAGGCTATAGGTTATCTCAGAGCTAAGTACAGTTCAGAGAGTTTAAGACCAGAAGGAACCGTTATGATCTATTCTGATCTGCATGACACAGGACACAGAATCTGAGCCAGTCATCCCTGTATGGAGTCCCTCACTTTTGGCTGAGCTGGAGCAGATCTTGTAAATGATACCCAAGTGATGAAGAGTCCGTTTCTCCCCACCCCAGAAAACTGTTCCAACAGGTAATGGCCATGACTGGACCCTGCCTGTCTCCTGGGGCTGTGCCGCCACAACAGGTGCACTCAGCATTACACAACAGAGGGAGCTGCTAGCAGGGTGCTCTCGGCTCTGGAACTTGCTCTCCCATCGCTCAGGCACCCCCCTAATGTGCTGACCCTCAGGGCGTGTTACAAGGCATAGTTTGGGCGGGGGAGTGCTGCTTCATGCAGGAGTTTGAGGCAGGGTCCATTTTCTCTTTGTTTTAGGTTAAACTGGCTATTACATGGTCCAGGCTACTGCTGGCCTCTTTGCTTATTGGTGGCTTTAAATAACTGGCATACTTAGTTCACGAGGGGCACCTTAGGCCTGGGCAGCCAATATCTTTAGTCTCATAGGGTACGTCTAGACTACATGGCTCTGTCGACGGAGCCATGTAGTCTAGATGTATCCATAAAGCCAAATACAGCAACTAAGTCACTTCCCAGCTTGGGGTCTCCCCTGGGTTAGCCTCCCCTGGGTTAGCCAGGCCATCACTGACCCAATCTCAATGAAAGGAATATTTGGGGAATAGGGGGAGAAGGCGGAAGCGCTCCTCACTGTGGAAGACATTGAGGTTTAGTGTGTGAAGATACCAGAACCAGACTAAGCTCCTCGGGACCAGGACTCTGTGATACCTTGTTACAGCCCTTGGCCCCTTCCATGTCTTCAACAAACTGGGATGAACAACTCTTCACCCACCCCTTCTCTCCAGCTGATCAGCTACTCCCTCCGCATCATGCCATTTATAACCCACCAGGAATTGCTCCCAGTGGGCATCAGAAGTAAGTGCGCCCCTTCCCCTCTCCCCGAACCTCCTTCTCCCTTGTGGACTGGCCTGCCTGCCAAGACAGGGAAAGGGCCCCGTGCACAATGGAAGAGCCCATCCACTCTTGCTGCGCAGGAAAGAACAGCGCTCCGTGCAAAGCCAACACAGCTGATGAGCAGGGAGAACAGTCTAGGCTCTGGCCACTGTCTTCCCACTGTGAGAATGCAGAACCTACCTTCCCATCTTCTCCTATGCTGTAAACTGTGTTTTCATCATAGCTGAATTCAACAGAGTAGACCTCCCCATCATGGGCCTTCCAGCTCAGAGCACACTCATGCTGCTGCATATCTGAGGGGAGAGCAATCACTGAACACACACAGGTGGGAATTGGAGAAGAGGCTCGTAAAATTGAAGACAGGGTGTCTCATGCCTTCCCTGTGCCCACCATGCAGCCTCCTAGTCTCCAGCCAGGCCAATTTTCCTTCCAGCCATTCTACCCCCAGGCTTCCACACATGGATTGTTCTCCTGCTATGCTCTGTCTCCAAACATACTTCCTCTGCCTTCACAGAGTCCATCCGTTGCTCAGAGCCCCACAAGATGAGGGAAGAGGCAGTCAATGGCAGCCCAATGGCTGCTCAAGGCAATCCCCTGTCCAGCAGTACAACATGCCAGGACAGCCTACCCACCAGTGTGTTATTTATGAAGCCAACGCTGCATTTTTCCTGGCAATCTTCTTATATGGGAAGACAGTTTCTAGCACAGAACATAGAGATCTTAAATGACTCCCCTTCAACTAGAACAAGGTCCTACCCTGGAGAACACTGTGGAGAGTGGAGGGGAAGTGGAACATGTAAAAAGCTAGAACTACCTCCTGTGGTGGGGGAGGCACAATAAGGAAAGCTGCAGAGAAGGCTACAACCTACCCCAACAGCCCACCTGGCTGTCTACACAAATGTATCACTAGATTAAAGACACTTGAGAGCATCAGATACAATTTTGCTTTCCTCTTTGAGTCCAGACTCATTAAGAGAGGGAAGCACATACGTCCTGCTTGTTTTAAACCTGCTACTTATTAATTTCATTTTGTGACCCCTGGTTCTTGTGCTATGGGAACAAGTAAATAACTTTTCCTTATTTACTTTCTCCACATCAGTCCTGATTTTATAGACCTCTATCTCCCCTGAGTCTCCTCTTTTCTAAACTGTAATAGAACTGGGACTTTTATCTCCCCTCATAGGGCAGCTGTTCCAAATCCCTAATCTTTTTTTTTTTTTTTGCCCTTTTCTGAACTTTTCCCGCTGTCAAGATATAATAGAAGATCGTGTGTGCCAATGGCATGATGAAGAGCCACACTGAGCCAGAGAACAAGTGACCCATCAGAGATAGTAGAGAGCATTCAAAAGACTGGCACTTGCTCCTTTTAAACTGTCATTTTTGTTCTAGGATCCCCACTTCTGCTTAGAACAAGTGATGGCACTTCTCTCAGCATGCTAGTCTGCAGGCTTAGTTAGGCAAGTGCAAGTCCTATGCTTACACAGGAGAGAACTCTGAGCGGGGGGGAAGCGAGCTTCCATTTACAAGTACAGACCAAAGAGTTCAGACAGAGTGAGCAGCAAACAGCCAGCCGGAAGGGGAGAGAACAGCTCAGTTGGCCATATTCAACTTTGGCCCTGCTCCAGAGCCTGGGCTCACACCAGTGTTACCTTGGTGCTGTGTCTGGGGTAACTGCACTGCTGAAAGCGCCGCTCTCCAGATGGGCTATGCTGCGCTTTCGCCTGCTCTAAGGGGGGGCAGGAGGGAAAGGAGGATTCCACAGCATTTCAAGGAACAGCCAACTTCTCTCCACTAAATGCTGGTCATCGCACTGCCTTTGTGTCTCTCGTCATGCTGAGGAGCACTCTGGGAACTGTTCAGCTAGGAAAGGTGACACGGGAGCCAACGTGTCATCTGAGAACCCAAAGAATTCTTACCAAAGAGACGAATGATTCCATCTGCTGCTCCAGTGACTAACAGGTTGCCATTGTGGTTAAAGGCCGTGCAGTTTGTGGCAATGGGCTCTGGTTCAAGAGAAAACTGGAGCTAAAAGGTAAAGTCACCATTAGTGGATTTCACTCAGGGCACGTCCCTACAAACCTCTTCCATGGAGTAGGTACCCCCAAGGTCTCCAGTTTGTTCAGCCAGACTTCAGAGTGACCCACCCATCTGGAATCCCACCCCCTCACTCTCACCCTACAGGTATTCCTGGGACCACCTCTGACTGCATCCCAGCACAACGGCTGCATTCATTAGGATGCTTTAGTTAACAGAGCCAACTGTCCAGCTTGGCTGACTCAGAGCTTTCTAGGTCAAGGCACCAATATCTGCCAGTTGCTAGCTGGGGAATCACCTCTGTCGGAGCATGGGCATAGCCTGCTCCGACTGGTCACAGGGACAGGACATCAGGGCCCATGAAACCCCTCTGAGTCGAAGCCTTCTAATTAGAAGCTAGGAAGCAGATAAGCCAGGAGAGCTATAATCCCTCTGGGAGGCTTCCCTTACCCAAATACATCGATAAAGGCACCCACATGCTACTGTGACAGGCACGCAGAAATAAAAGGAACACCACATGGTACAGTGATCCCTTTGTGTCCAGTGTGACGACTGACCCAGCTGGCCAAGGCTGAGCATTCACAAGACTGGTTTGCTGAGCTCTCTCAGTCTCGATGCTAAGTGGAGAACATGAACCCTGAGCAGGTCCCTCACACCCTACCCACGGGCATAGTGATAGTGGAGCAACCCGCCACCGCTAAATATACCTCAGATTGGGACAACGGAGGCTGGAAAAAGCTACATTCAACCATGTAAGCCCACCCGAGGACTGGGGCGAGGAGAAAAACACTTCCCTGTTCCGAGTGAGCAGATTCAAGGAGTGAAGACATGAGACAATACCTGCTGCTTCATGGTTTTAGTGTCCCACAGAAGCAGCTTCCCTGGAACTTGGCTCACACCTCTGCCTCCAGTCTCAGGGGCTGCGAGGTCCAGCTGGCTGAGCAGGTTTGGCGCTGCAGCTGAGCAGACGAAGGAGGCACCACTTGGGCTGCATGCAAGGGATAGGATCCTGAAATATACAGCACCAGGAGTCAGCTTAGTCCCTCTGGGTAAGAAACCCGCAGAGGGAGACCAGAGTAGCCACCATTCCTAAGTTCTCCCCCTCACCCAGGTAAAAGTCGCTCCTGGAGAAGCCGCTCTGCAAGGCCTTCAGAGCAGCAGCAGCAGGGTTGGGGCCTGTGTCTCTCATGGCAATCTGACATGGCAGCCATACCATTCCCCCAAGCCAAGGCAATTCTTGCTGCTGGCAAAAGCAACCCATGCTGAGGGGGGTTGGTAAGGCTAACCAGCATGCACACACCTTCACACGCCTTCCGATTCTGCTCACCCACATTTCAGTGTGGGGCAGAACTCGATACTGTGCATGAAGACCGTGCATTAGAATGCTGTGCACTGGTCACAGCAGAATGGGGTGGCCCTCAGGGATCTGTGCTAGTTAAAGCCCAGAATGAGCTGCCTTATTGGGAGTAGAACAAAAGATGTCTGGATTACACTGACCACTGATGCTCTAGATTACAATAGGCATTCTTGCTCATCTGCTGCTAGATTAGACCACACACAGAATTGACTTGTCACTTCAATTCTGTGTCCATCTTCCCGACAAACATCTATGTGACGGCTCTGAGACAGGCCTGAGCAAAATATGGTTTGTGGGCTGCATCTGGCCCACAAAGCTACCGAATCCAGCCAGCGGAGAGCCCCAAGTAGGCTCTCCAGCTTGCCCCGCGCCCTATGCAGAAATGCGACTGCAGGGCTCTGTTTCTGTTTTAAAACTGGAGGGGAGGGGAGACGTTTTAGGAGCCACTCTGCCCCCAGCACATTCCCATTGGCCGGTATCTGACAGAAACCAGCCAATGGGAGCTGCTTGCTAGAATAACAGGCAGCTAAGAAGAATCACGCCCCCTCTCCTGGGCTCAGTTATTCACAAAGCACATAGCCAGGCAAGCAGGCAGGCAGGCAAACATTTTAAGCTCTGTAGGCAGGCAGGCTAGTTTGGCAGCTACTAAGTAAGTCCTGTGGCTGCAGCCTGCTTCTGGCACCCCAGCCCTTTTCTGCCCCAACTCTCTAAACTCCACCCCACTCAACATAACCAAACCCTCTGACCCCCTCTTACACCCATACCTCCTCCCAGATCTGGCACCCCAATCTCCTGCCCCAAATCACAATCCCCTCCTACCCCAGTTCACATCTCAAACCCCTGCACTCCAGTCCCCTGCCCTAGATCACTACCACCTGCTTTATCCCAACTCCCTCCCAGATTCCAGTCTCCCTTCTGCACCCCAGTCCCTTACCCTAAGCTCCCTTCTGCACCCAACCTCCATTCCAGACCCCGCACCTCCTCCATTACTAGCACACAAGAGTGCGGCCCTCAACCACTTTCCAGAAATCTTGGAGTGTCCCCCCTATCAAAAATTATTTCCCACCTCTGCTCTGAAACTTAATAAGCATCCTGAAAAAAAGACACTAGAGAATGAGAAGCAACTTGCTAGAAAAAAATAGCATGTAATAAATTAATCATCAGCATCAACCATTCCTGTTACACAGGGCAGTCGTTCACTCGGGACTGGACACTCCCTTCTGAAATCGGGGTTGGATAACAGAGTCATACGAATGCAGGAGAAACTATGAAAGCCCTTCTATTCTTCTATAGGCAGAGGAATGCATGAGCTTTTCACAGTTACCTGGGCATGTCTTCATCAATGTTAATTTCACAGAGATTCTTCTTGGCTTCGGTATCATAGAGACGAACTGTCCCAACCCCGCTGCCCAGCAATAGCTTGAAAGCAAGCAGAAGAGAAAGAAACAGAAGGTAAGGAACGGAGAATGAGTGCAGTAGCTCTGTCCCTGAATCACCACATCCCGTGGGAAGCATTCTTTTTAGAACACCCACATCTGACTACATATCAGTCCATCAGAAAGTATCCTATCCCCTTGCGAATGTTCCCAGGGGACTGGCTCTATTCCAAGGCAGTTTACTCTCAGAAAGCCCCTACAGGGTGGCATTTGTGGCCACTTGGAAACAGGACTAGGTCAGGATTCCGAAATGGAACAGGTCATTTTCCAGAAGCAGG